CCCCATGGCAACTGTGGGGAACACCAAGCACTTCAGACTCTGATTTGCATTGGGAGTGCAATGCCATCAGTTGAATAGCAAAACAGCATGCCTTTTCTCAAATGATACGATCCTAGTGTTTGCCACAGCTACCTCATTTTTGAAAATGCTCAGGTTATGGCCTATGGTTGCAGCCATATATTCTACTTTTTTCTCCTGTGCTGTGCTATGGAATCCTGCTCTCATCCAGTCCATGGCTTCAACCAGTAGGTCAGAACCCTCTAGTTTGTCACAGAGTACCATTTGATGAGCAGTGAGTCCCTATAAAATGCCTTTATTTGCTGCTGGTACACCACACTGAAAGAACCCGCAGCATGGTGAGGCAAGGACTCCAGCTCCTTGCCTTTCTGTCACATGGCTGTGATGTATGATTATGATGGGATGTTTTGTCACGTGCTTGAAGTGTTTCATCAGGCTGGATGAAAGCTAAAGGTGGGTCTGACGTCAGATCCTAGGTCTGGAAAGGTTGAAAGCCACTGGGCTAGACTAATTTCTATAAGAAATTCTAAGCTATTTCTCATTATTGTTATATTCTCTTTTTTCATCTCTGATGCAGGTAGTTCGGCCATACCAAACGATGTCCAATCCAATGAGTAAATTGACAGTACTTAACAGCATGCACTCTCATTTTATTTTGGCTGATAATGGGACCACAGGCAAATATGGTGCAGAAGTGAAACTTCGTAGACAGTTGGAAAAGCACATTTCACTTCAGAAGATAAATACAAGTAAGCAGATCACTCTGTTCCTTAACTGCATAATTTTACAGTGATAAATTAAAAAAACATTCTAGATGTTAGTGGTATGTGGAGAAAATGTCAAAGGCTTAGTCTGTATTGTCTCCTTCGACTACTATTGTATGCCAGTAAACAGAAGTAGGTGCTGGGAGGTGTATATAATTTAGAAACGTTGTTCTTTATAGCCAGCACTCAAAACTGCATGCAGATATCAGGAAATTGCTGTAGTCAGCAATTTGATTGTGTATATAGTGTTTGCATTGGCCCATAATTATATGCAATCAAATCATTATGTGGTGGAGGTTGCATTAATGGGTCTGCACAATGGGCTATATCAACAAACAGCAGATTCCAGTATGATTTTTACTATGATCAGTACTCACATGGATCTGGTGAACCCATACTCCAAATTCTGAACAATTCAGAGACCAGTGGGATCAGGAATAGATTCGGCAGGGTGCTAGAAGAAAAACAGGATACTATTTGTATGCAATGCCTGGAATAAATTCAATAGAGTGGTTTACGATGATCGGGAAGACAGGCAAAATAGAATTAAGGCAAGTAATTCCTTAGGCAAGTAATGCAGAGTACAGTGAAGAAAGTTTCTGTTATCGCCTTCTCCAACTGCAGCTTCTTCTACTACATCACAGGCTACCATGGCCAGCTTTATAATAAAGTGACCTTCAGTGACCGACTCAGGTGGCAGATTTTGGAAGGCAATAGTCTCCCATCCTATTCACCATCAGCAGCCAGCTGCCTCCCCACCTATCAGCTGCCTCCTCTATCTTAGAGGTGGAGAGACTTCCCCAAGATTCTTTAAAAGCAGCACTGCCAGCTGTACATGTCATTTCCAAAATTCACACAATATTACTTTTTTTCCTCACAACTTTTCACCCACCATTTCTGGTTGCCTTTTGCCAGGGCAACCAACATTATGGCCGAACTCTTGCTAGAGGAGGTAGACCTTGTTGGGCCCCTGTGGTCTAGCAGGGACAATGCAGAGGTAAGGAGGGTTTATCTCTTCCAGCTCCTGAGTGGGGTAGCAGAAGTGACGAGGCACATACATGGGGAAGGCAGCAAAACACCTTAGCCACTACTGGTGAGGTCCCCCCCCCAAAAAAAAAATATCTGGGGAACACTTTGTCAGGATAAAGTCAGAAGAGAGGCCTCCACGATGAAAATATCCTCCATTGGATCCTATTGAGTACTTAGAAAGCAAGTATGCTTAAAAGGAAGAAAGCTGATAGCATAAGTTATGATTATCTAATAAATGATGTGGAAAATAGGGGGGGCAACCTTGAAGGGTCCAGGTGAAGCTAGCCTATCATGCTCAGGTTGGCACCAAAGATAAGATGCTAAGATTCAGCAGGCAACCACGGCATAATACCTAAAACCATTTGACAGACTCTAATTTTCAGGCAAACTGTGTGGGCTTAATAAAAATGCTGCATTATAGGTGAAACAAGTGAAATAGACATCTATGTCAAATTACTTCCTAACATTTTGACTGCACGCACTTGGAGACAGGATTTTTAAAAAAGCAGTCTGATTTTTTAAAAATAAAAAGATAAATCAACAGTCATTCAGATAATAAGCTGCAAGTAAACTGAAGATGCTGTCAGCAAAAATTAATGTTTTATTTCCACTAATAATGTAAGACAAACACAGTTGTGCAAGGATTTCTGTATCCAAATGAAAGTCGACTAATAGCAGTAGATCATAAGCCAAATGGAAAACAAGGACTGCGCTGGGTACAATATAATCTGTATAGACTACTTAGTAAAAGTGATATACTCTATGGTACATATTTAGAAAAATAAAACATTTAAGGAAAAGCTGGCCCATCTTCTGTAGATTATTTTTATGAATCCCCCAAATATCTCAGTATTATGCTAATTCCCCTGTCTTACATCATTTGATCATGCTTGACTTTCAGTGAACTTTACCTTACACTCTTTTCAGAGGTGCTTGCATACTTGGAACTGTTTATCTGTCCTTTTAGTTGTGCCGCTGTCATTGCTGTGCACAAACAGGACAGAAAGGGTTCATTTAGAAAACCACTTTACCACACACAAAAATATGGGGAGAGCTTAGCTCTCAGTGACTTTTTACCACATCAGATGTGACAATGTGAGTCAGACCTTAAATATTTATTTATTTAGAAATTTTCTACGCCATCTCTTCATAAACCCTGTTCAAGGCAGTTTACAAAGAAAAGCATAAACACCATGAAAGTCATTAACAATTAATAAATCATTAAAAACCCAGCATTACAAACCCTGCCTGAGCATTAAAACAGCATAAAACATTTAGCAGCTTAAAACAAGTTTCATAAAATAATTCTTGAGCTAGAAACAGACTCTTAGTTTGCAGTCACACGCGCCATAAAAAACAGGGGGTAAGAGAGGCTATTTCCTCCGGAGGAATTTGACCCGCAGTTGCGCGATCACACAGTCCTTGGAAGCTGCGTGCACAGCCCACCACTGCGTAATCAGATGCAACCGCGGGTGAATTGGGTTTTCTTTTTTGCCGTTTGTTTCCAATGCACTTAGGAATCGATTAATCACATCTCCGCACTGAGGGCTCCTTATGGAGTTTGCAATGATGCACATACTGAGAAGGGCGGGGGACAACGGCACGGAGTCGGGATGGCCTGATCTGACCATTCCAACACCATGAGAGCGTACTGGAGCAATCAGACAGGGGAAAGTCTGTCCATGGCCCGTCGCAACCTGTTTTCTACTGGATTTCCCCTGGTGTCTTTTAACTCCACTTCTGTGGCGGAGCAGAACGGGTTGCCGACGGCTGCGGGGCACTTCCCAGATGTTATTGTCTGATCGTGCCCTTTAAATCCGCCTGGCATTTGCGCCTATGGCATGTCTAATTGCGCATATGATCGCAGCTTAAAACTTATTTTAAAATATCAGTTCCTTAATTAAAAGCCTGTCACCTAAAAGAGAGTAGAGTAGGTACCAGGTCAGTCTCAAGGGACTGGGCATTCCACAGGTGAGATACCACCACTGAAAAAACCCTATCTCTGGCAATGCTCCCTCTAAGCTGTGGAGTCTTGTGAGCAAAAACTCTGCTTTGTGAGCTACTGGCATTAAAGTTGTGAGTGAGCGATTTGGCTAGTGCATAAATTAGTTTGCTCCGGAGCCATCCTTCCTCAGCTAAGACAAAAATGTGTGAGCCGGAGGCTAAAAAACTGTGAGCTAGCCCACACTAACTCAGCTTGGAGGGAACACTGATCTCTGGTCACCTCCTGCCTCACCCCTGAAGACAGGCACAGAGAGCAAATTTAACTGGTGGGATGCACACTATAGGAGGAGGCGGCCCCAAGCCATTTAGGACCATACATGTAAGAACTAGGCCTCTGGATTGTGCCTGGAAACAGACAGGCAGCCAGTAGAGTTCTTTCAGCTTTGTGCAGCTACAGCACTACATAGTACCTCTTTTATGATATATAGAATCACATTATTGGCAATAGTCTATGTTGGCTTTCAGTGTTAATTCATGCTCCAATGCCATTTACAAATCACCAGAGACATCAAGAGGTGCTTAGCAGCGTGACACACCACAGCACACAAAATTATTACACCATTTGTAGTTCATTTGTGCCATCACTTGCCACTTACTGATTTATAGTTCTACATATGGGATCTAAACTGGAGGGATCAGTGCCATTACAATGTCTAATCTCCAGATGTTACTGTAAGCAGATATTGCTTGACTAGACAAAAATGCTGTATGCTTCGAAGTGGAACATTTGTGTAAAATGCAGCTGGGACCCATTGCCAAGGGTGAACATGACAGTACTGCAGATTACATTCTGGTTTATATTACAGTGGGAGTTGGTGGGAGGAAATGGCTATTATTTCATTTCCTAAACTATGACTGTGTTGATATATTATTTTCCTCTCAATTCTGAAGAAGCTTGGCTGAGCTTACCTTCCTAATATTGCATTTATTCTTGAAAAATTGTGATATTATATACTTCAAGTACATTTTTAGCTCAGCTTGCTATGACTAATTTCACAGACAATTTCGCAGCCAAATGTGTGTGTCATCAACAGACCAGCTGTGAGAAATTCCATGTGAGAACAAAATACTGTCCTTACTCCTGTCTGTATAACTAGAATTTTCCTTTCGATTACACTCTGTTACATCTATATACTAATAGCGAAGGCGCCCCCTGCGTGCGGATATCTAAATCCGCACATTGGGGGCACCTGGGGGGCAGGAAGATTTTCCTGCACACTTGAGGCAGTCCCTACGTGTGCACAAAAATCTAAAAAGGTGAACAAATATTTAAATTACCTAAAAAGTAAAAATTAAAAGAGCATTCCCTGCACATGCGCAGAGAACGCTCTGGGAACTGGCGGGCCGGCGGCTGGAAGGCACTCAGACCTCGGAGCCGGGTGGGGTGGGGGAAGGAGATTGACGGGGCCCAAACCAGAGGGGGGGGAGAAAGAGATTGGGAGGCCCGAGTGGCTGGAGATCGGTGGGGCCTGAGGCAGGGGGGGAGAAGAGTTCAGTGGAGCCCAGCGGCTGGAAGCCGCTTGGGCCTCGCCGCTTGAGCCGGGGGGAAGGAGATTGGCGAGGCCACTCAGGCCTCGCTGCTGGAACCTGGGGGGGGGGTCAAAAATCCAAAAACTAAAAAAAGCCCTTCAGGGATGGCTGAATTCCTCCCAAAACCTTTTGAAATGGCCTCTGCAGGGATCTGCTTCAGGCATCAACGGTGAGAGATTAGAATGTTCGGGGTGTGTGGGGCTTCTAACTGGCTTTGTCAGTAAAAGGGTGGGGGAAGGGCCCTTTCCAGGCTTATTTTGGCCTTTCAGGGAGGGAGGGAAGGAGGGAGCCTTGGGGCCAGGCCTTACAAGAGTTGCCAGTGCCAAGCTGGGGGATTTCTAGAGATTTTGTGGTGGACTCTAAGGAGGGCTGAGTTTGGAAAGGGAGAGGCCTCAGCTGGGTATAATGCCACAGAGTCCACC